CTCGATGAGCGGAGACGTTCCGGAGGCTCTACTCTTCCATCTCGTGTGCGCGCAGGAGACGGAACGGGAAAAACTTTTTAGACAGCGAGAACTTTTGGTTTTCGTAATCGCAAGTAAAAGGACCAGGCGATGGAGTTAGGAATATATCCCACACACGGATGGGAAGGCCAGCGGACTCAGGAGATTAGGAGGTAGCAGATACGATGAATACTAGAGAAGGAAACTCCTGTATTCATTTGCCAATTAATTAATGGAATGAAAAGACCTTCTGTAACTTACGTAATCAAGAATTCTAATTGGCAAGATGGAATACTGAACGCTTGCCTTCCTGCATGCCTAGTCACGTCCAAGGCCCAGCCGATCACCGGCCTCATGTGCCCTGCAGTTGGTCCATATCACATATTGGTACTAAACCAATAAATATTATTTAATACAAATCATAGAGTTTATTAATTATTGTATATATTATATGGGCCTAGACCATAATATACCAACAATCCCCACCAAACTCTAGGGTTTGTAGAAAATAATCTCAAAAACCAAAGTTCTTTGATATACCAGAGTTTCAACGGGGACTGTTAAGTTGAACACCCGTCTAGAACAAAGGCTAGGCTCATTCACAACTGAACAATGGACTATACCTTGAATTGACAGTTTTGTGTGAATTGAGTTTCACCAAAGTTCTTTTCATGGTACTTGGCTGTTACAAGTATCCCCTCTGTTTGAAGCATATAAGTCACACTTCCTAGCCTTTCATGAGTGTCTAGAAATGACCCACATCTTATAGATTGTGACTAGCAATCGAACTCATATAGGTGTATTTCTTTAAGGATGTTCTGTAGGACAACATCCCTGCTTAATCAAGCCACTCGGATCACATTAAGAACTTAATCAACCTGCCTTACAGCTTTGGAGAAACGGTGCATCTCAAATGAGCCCAACTTTGTTCTAAGGAGTCTCTTCCTCAGTCATCCACTATCTTGTTTCACCATCCTAATTCACGGGATCCATATAGATCTCTTTCTCAAGCTCTCCATTCAAGAAAGCTGTTTTAACGTCCATCTGATGAACGAGAAGACCGTGTGAGGCAGCCAAGGATAAAAGTACGCGTATGGTCGTCAAACGGGCAACTGGTGAGTAAGTATCAAAATAATCATCTCCTTCCTTTTGTGTATAGCCTTTAGCCACTAGCCTGGCCTTGTACTTCTCAATAGTACCATTAGGCCGAAGCTTTTTTTGAATACCCATTTACACCCCACGGGTTTACATCCATAGGGACGATCAACTACTTCCCAAGTACCATTAGACATGATGGAATCCATCTCACTCTGTACAGCTTCCTTCCACAAGTCAGCATCGAGAGATGAATATGCCTCTGCAATGGTTGTGGGAGTATCATCCACAAGGTATATAATAAAGTCTTCATCAAATGATTTTATAACCCTTTGCCTCTTACTCTTTCGAGTGACAATATTATCATCCTCCTTAGGAATTTCAACATGGGTTTCAACATCAGCGTGTACCACCGGTTCAAAAGATTCAGGGATAGATTCATGACTAGAATCGCTAGGTGTATTATCTTTTATGGGAAACTCATTCTCAAAGAATGTTGCATCTCTAGATTCCATGATGGTCCCAACTGTCATATTAGGAACTCCAGAATTTATTATTAAAAATCTATAACCCACACTGTGAATAGCATACCCAAGAAAAACACAATCAATGGTTTTGGGTCCAAGCTTTCGTTTCTTGTTAATTGGCACACTCACCTTTGCCAAACAACCCCATGTTCGCAGATAGGAGAGATTTAATCTCTTTTTCTCCCATTCATCGAATGGTGTAATTTCTTTGTTTTTAGTGGGCACTCTATTCAGAACATGACATGCTATCAATATAGCCTCACCCCACCATTCCTTAGATAGTCCCGCAGTCTCTATCATGGCGTTAACCAAATCTGTTAGAGTGCGATTCTTTCTCTCTGCAATCCCATTGGATTGTGGTGAGTATGGTGGCGTCCTCTCGTGAATAATACCATGCACCGCACAAAACTTAGTAAACTCATTTGAAAAATATTCTCCCCCGCGATCGGACCGTAACTTTTTAATTTTCTTCTCAAGTTGATTTTCTACTTCATCTTTATAAATTTTAAAATAATGCAACGCTTCGTCCTTAGTTTTTAGTAAATACACATAGCAAAAATGAGTGCAATCGTCTATAAATGTAAGGAAGTATCTCTTACCACCTTTGGTCAAAACTCTATTCATCTCACAGATATCAGAATGAATTAGTTCAAGCGGTGCCAATTCTCTCGCCACAGCAGTCTTGTGAGGCTTACGAGTTTGTTTTGTCTCAACACAAACATGGCACCTTGAACCTTTGACCATATCTATTTTCGGAATTAAATTTAAACCAACTAAACGGGACATGCAACCAAAATTAATATGACATAAACGAGAATGCCAAATATTTGTCTCAATGTCGTGACTCACATGATTAACAGAACTTAAACAAGTGTCAACCGAAGACAAGCGGAACAAGCCTCCGCTCTCGTAGCCTTTTCCAACAAAAATTCCATACTTGGAGAGTACAAATTTATTGGATTCAAACACAAGTCTAAAACCATCATGACATAGCAGGGAACCACTAATCAAATTCTTCTTTATTGAGGGGACATGATGCACGTTCCGCAGTTGCACGGTCTTTCCCGAAGTGAGCTTCAGATCGACCGTACCAACACCACGAACAACAACAAGCGCACGCCTGCTCCCCATCAACAAGGAGCCAGCCCGCCGCCCGGGTAAAAAGAAAACAAGGAAACATTAGCACACACATATATTTGCACCGTGTCAACCCACCAATCGTGTGAATGACAAACTGAAAATACTGAAAGGCAAAACTTTGCCATACCCAGATGTAGTCAGATCGGTCTCAACGCAGTTAATCGATTTACGTGGAGGAGGCTTCCACTTAGCCTCGTGGACACTCCCTAGAAAAGTGTCCAATCTTGCCACAAGTGAAACAATTCATCTTTTCCTTGTTCATCTTCTTACCCTTCTTGAAAGGAGTAGTGGTCTGTTGCTTAAGCCCTTGCTGAAATTTCTTTTTCTGTGGTTTAGGACGGTTCCTTTGCACCACATGTGCGCTAGAACTCCCCTCACCAACTTTCTTGCCTTTGACATCCTTTGCTCTAGCCTTGTTTTCAACATCTAGAGTCCCAACAAGCTCAGCAGTGCTGAACTCTTGCCTCTTGTGTTTCAGAGAAGTGGCAAAGTCAGTTCAAGATTGTGGTAGCTTAGCCATGATACAGCCTGCCACAAACTTGTCAGGAAGTGCACACCCAAACAGCTCAAGTTCCTTTACCAGTGCCTATATTTCATGGGCCTGTTCGACTACTGGACGGCCCTCAACCATCCGATAGTCATGGAACTGTTCCATGACATACAGCTCAGAACCGGCATCAGAAACACCAAAGCGGGCCTCAAGTGCATCCCACATGGCTTTTCCGGTCGGAAGTGGCACATATCCATCAACAAGAGAGTCTCCAATGACACTCAACAGAGCAGCCTTGCATGTGATGTCAGCGTTTTGGAATGCATGCTCCTCATCATAGGTCCGCACTCCAGTAGGCTGCTCATGCACCACATGAAAGCAGTCCATAGAGGTTAACCACATAATTGTTTTCTGGCGCCATCTCTTATAGTGAGTGCCCTCAAACGGCGTTGGTTTCAGCAAACCCGCAAAGCCAACAGATGAAAATTGCCTATTATCACGTTTTTGAAATGTTAGAAATATAGGTAAATTCAAGTTTAATTTAATCCGTAAAAGAGATATAAACAAAATACTCATGATATCATATATGTGCTTGTTCAAATGAAATATCACCATGGATATTAAAATAGTGCTAACCAGTGAGACATGATACATATTATTGTCCGAATAAATCATGACCATCATATAGTTAACACTAACCAACAAGATTGTAATAGAGATCATATAATTAACAAGACGGGTGAAGTGATTATACCCTGCAGCAGAACCGGATGCACCAAACATGATGCATGGCGTTGTAGTTGTCCCGCTCGATGCAGTGAAGAACGGAAGCCGTGCAGATCACCCGACGAAGACGAACAGCAACTCACGGCGGGAACAGGGAGGGGACGAAGCGAGTAGTCGTGCCGCTTGCGGACACTCTCCAAAAACGTAATGGCCGCCCTTCACCCGAGCAGATGAACTCGATGAGCGGAGACGTTCCGGAGGCTCTACTCTTCCATCTCGTGTGCGCGCAGGAGACGGAACGGGAAAAACTTTTTAGACAGCGAGAACTTTTGGTTTTCGTAATCGCAAGTAAAAGGACCAAGCGATGGAGTTAGGAATATATCCCACACACGGATGGGAAGGCCAGCGGACCCAGGAGATTAGGAGGTAGCAGATACGATGAATGCTAGAGAAGGAAACTCCTGTATTCATTTGCCAATTAATTAATGGAATGGAAAGACCTTCTGTAACTTACGTAATCAAGAATTCTAATTGGCAAGATGGAATACTGAACGTTTGCCTTCCTGCATGCCTAGTCACGTCCAAGGCCCAGCCGATCACCGGCCTCATGTGCCCTACAGTTGGTCCATATCACATATTGGTACTAAACCAATAAATATTATTTAATATAAATCATAAAGTTTATTAATTATTGTATATATTATATGGGCCTACACCATAATATACCAACATGAGGTAGCATGCCAGAGCGAATGTATCGCCCTGATCTTATTGTTCATTCCAAACAACCCACACTAACAACAACCGCCTCAAGAATGCATCACTGTTATTACCAACAGGCCCCCAACGCTGACCAATGTGTGCGGCGTTCCGTACTCACCCCCAACCAATTCGAAAGCCTCACGACCCACAAGTACACAACTCACTCACAGGCCACAGGCCATCCGCCAGCCACGCGCCGGTTGTTCTCATCGACAACGGCTATCGACTCCGCCGTCTCATACTCATTTCACGCCCTTGGTGGTGAGCCCGAAGCCGAACGGGAAGAGCGGGTCGTAGTGCTTGTCGCCCACGTTCATGGGCAGCTGGTCCACCGACTTGAACCACGTCCGCGACAGCTTCCCCGTGAACCCGTAGTCGCCGAACAGCACGTCCGCGACGCCCTGCCCCTCCGACCCCGGCAGCCACGCCGCCACGAACGCGTCCATGTCGCCCAGGTACGGCTCCACCACCAGGGGCCTGCCGGAGATGAGGACCACCAGGCACTTGGTGGCCTTGCACACCGACTGGATCACGCTCGGCCCGGGCGCCGGGATCGTCAGGTTCAGGTTGTCGCCGAACGTCTCCGCGTACGGCGGCTCCCCGACCACCACGATCGCGTAGTCGTACTTGTCGGCGAGCACGCTGCTGTCCGGGTTCTCCGAGTAGACCACCTGCGTGCTGGGATCGACGGTCGCCTCGATTCCGGAGAGGATCGTCGTGCCTGTTCCATCCACATCCCATCGCAAGTTAGTTCGTTGTTGGTCACGAATCCTTGTCTCAAGTGTGAAATAATGCACAGTTGCTGCAAGTGAAACGGAAAATGAGGCGCCACTCACCAGCAGTGGTGTTGCCGCTGCTTCCTTGCCATGTGATCGTCCATCCTCCGCACTGGTTGCCCAGGTCATTGGCGTGGCTACCGGCGACCAGGATCTTACCGGCCTTCTTCGGGAGGGGCAGCAACGGAGCATAGGAGGACTTTCCGTTCTTCAGAAGAACCAGGGATTTCCTGACGGCTTCACGTGCCAATTCCCGGTGTTCCTGTCAAGGCGCGAATAAGTAGATCCATCAGTAACCATATACATCACGTAGACAAACGAGCATGAGGTGTTAAGAACTGACTTGCTTCCCGAGTTCGCCGGCAAGGCTAGCATCGGGGTAAGGGTTCTCAAATAGACCCATGGTGAACTTGACACGGAGGATCCTGTAAACGGCATCGTCGATTCTGCTGATGGGGATGATCTTGTTCTGAACTTGTGTTGTGAGATCATCGATGAATTCAGTGTATCTGAATGGAACCATGATCTGCATATAATCATTTCAGGGCATGGTCAGCTAGCAGACATAATATTGCATTCGAACAGATAAGTAGTACATGCTGAGAAGATGAGAAGCAAGCCGTCATTCACTCCCATAATAGTTTATTTTTGAACGAAGTACAAAACTATTTATCAGTGCCGTCCTTATCTAAATGAAAGATATATTACTTTTCAGGTAGTTTTTCCCTATTTTAGTAAAAAGGTTGGTCCTTATGCTTTACTTGTTTTTGAAGAAAAAAAAATAACTAATGCACATGTTTCACACATCTTATTCTCACCATGTCAATACCAGCACCAACTCCAGCCTCAATTGAATAAGAATAGTTGGCGTGAGGAGGACTAGTGATCCGATCAATGCCCTCCCAATCGGAAATCACAAAACCCTGTTTGCGAAAGAAGTTCCAATTTGAGTATGTAACTGACGTGAATATATAAACAGAAAAAATCTTGAGCCTTTGTAATGACCAACTGACCCTAAACTTGAGCTTGTTCTTGAGAAAATCTGTGACTAGGAAATGGTTTGCGTGCATCTTCTCTCCATTCCAGCTGGAGTACGAGACCATGACTGTAGAGACACCTCGGATAATAGAGTTATAGTAAGGAGGCATATGGATGCTCAGCAGTCCATGTGTGTTGATAATCGTGTTGTTCTCGTTGATTCCCTTATACGTTCCACCATCACCAACATAGTGCTTTGCGCATGCAGCAACCTTCTTACTGTAGAGTACGGCAGAGAAAACAAATTTAGTTCAGCGTTGGTATTGAACATTACTTGTCTACTTCCACCTTTTAAAACAGAAGCTGGCTCTAAGCCATGAAGGAAGACAATCTAGCTATTATGTGTTTGTTGTAGTATACCTTCCACCGACATATGGTCTTCCCGCGGAATCTGCAGGAGCATCACCTTGCAAGCCAGAGATGAGTGAAGTCAGTGACTGGACAACCTTTGGATCCTCACTATAGCTCTCGTAGCAGCGTCCCCATCTTGGATCTCTACAAACCTGGGCAATATCATGTAAGCTACGGGCATGAGTTTAAAGGGATAACAAAAAAAAGGCACATTTATAACCGAAATGAAACATCCACAGTGCAGCAGGAAGAAATGCCTATTACCGCAATACAGGGAGCAAAGACATAAGGAATTCCAGTAGCTCTAACTTCAAGAGCAGTTGCTTCTCCAATTCTCTTAACGAGGTCAGGGTCCCTGGAATAGAATTACAACAGCACATCAACATAATAATATAGACTGACAAATGCTGGTCACAACATAATTACGGGCATATTGAAAGGCATAGCAAAGTAGGTGCAGCTTGTACCTGGTAGCTCCAAGCCCGACATTGTGAGGGAAAATAGTAGCTTTGTAGACGTTATTGTGACCATGCACGGCATCAATACCGTAGATAATCGGGATACCTAGACGTGTAGAAAGAGCGCCCTTCTGCATCTCAGTCACCATGGAGGCCCAAGCCTCAGCAGATGCTTGAGGAGAAGGCACACTGCCTCCGCCACTCAGTACGCTACCTGAAAAACACCACGGCAATGTCAAACGCATACTCGCCAGTCTGTCACCTTCTGCATTTTTTCAGTGTTAGTATAATCTGACATACCTATGAAGTATTTCGCCAGTGCGTCGGCTGTGGCATTTACCCTCTCAATCTGGGTCATCTGGCCAATCTTTTCAGCAAGAGTCATCCGACTCAGCAGATCCTTGACGCGAACAGCGATAGGCTGCTTGGGATCCTTATACTTGAGGTACTCTGCTCTCCCCAACGCTAGCAGGCAGAACATGAGAACAAGGGTGATCTTGTGCACGTTCGCCATCTTGCCTGTGTGGTTCTGATCACCACGAACCACCTATATATAGACCTGGCAGAAGGATGCCAAACAGATGAGTTACGTTCAATAAAGCTTATTCAATACATATGCGATATTATAGTAGAAGTCTCTTGTTTAAAAACACACACATAAAACTCTAAAATGGACCAGTTCCAGATGCTGCCACAAACATCATAAAAAAACAAAAATAGGCACAAAGGGAGCAGATGACTTAAAATCAGGTGCGTTTTCTGCCTTTCTTTGTTCGAAACCGCGTAAAGTTGCTGAAACCCAGCATGTTTATAGGGAAAACAAACCCAAAGCTACCTAATCCTGATTGATTGAACTGAGCCGGCACAAAAGAAAGGGGGTGATGAAGCATAGAATGCAGTATGAACAGAATACTATAGGCACCACCACATCATGAGCCCACGACTCTTTCAGAAGCGCCAGCACCGCCTGCTGCCGCTGCGTCGACTTGTTTCATCGCTCGGACAGGGACATCGGAGCCGAAGACGTTTAGGCTATTATGCGCCGGAGGCCTCGGCATGGCCAAGTTGCCTTGCTCTGCATCGCCAGGTTCAGACCGTGGAGTGACAGAATAAGACAGCATAACCACTGAAAGTTGTGGATCAATTAGGAGAAATCTTGGACTTGCAAGACCAGGCCTACTAACCACTAAATAACTAGTACTGGTACAGCGCTACAGGCATCTAAATATTTCTTTTTGATAAAAAAAAATCGTATAAGAGATTTTTCAGCAAGCTGGCCAAGTGGCCATGGGCAGCGTGCAAGCAAGCTAGATTACTCGTTTAAAAAATTCAGAACAATTCCTCGCGTGGAGCGCGCGTCCATCTGCGAGCTCCTCCGCGATTGCCCGTGCGAGGCTGGCATCAGGAATTCAGAAAGAACCCAAGGTGGCAAGCTGGTCACTCTCCACTACTAGTCTACTACTGCTCCACCATTCCACAGACAACGAAACCATGCCATGACATGAAAGACACCATGGATGGGTACGACGCTACAACTACCATCACGCATCAGCGTCACCTCCTCTGCTAGAGACTAGAGCCCGAGACAGGGCAGGTGGTTCGCAAATCCACATCTGCCGGCAAAGATTTTTAGCATTTTGTGGCCTCCCCATCTCGGGACGGAGCCAGGAAGGGTCGGTGGAGGGCGCTGGCAAGCCACCTTCCCTTCCCCAAACTGACGCGTACGTTTGTGTGCAGCGCAGTCCGCTACCGCTAGCGATTGAGATGGAGAGGAAGTGGAAGAGGAAGGAGCAGGACGAAGAAGAATAGAAGATGTGAAGTGAACGGGCAGCCAAGAACAAGGGGTGGAACTGGGGACCGGGACGGGGCTCACCGATTGCCAGCAGGCGGAGTGACGAGACGGAGAGCGGCCGGGGAGTGGGCGCTTCGCCTGCGCCGGCGAGCAGCAGCAGCACAGCTTGCGCACGGGGAAGCTGGCAGTGCCGCAGTGGCAGCTCACCCGGGGCAGTGAAGGCTGGCGACGAGTGCCGAGGGTCCGAGGCTTTATTGCGCTTGTCCTCGCCGCCTTTACTCGGCAGCTCTTTTTTTCACCCCGGGAATCTACAGCGACCGAACATCAAAGGCCGACGACTGGTGAATTTGACCGTGCTGGTGTCGGGTGGCGGGGACCAACCCGCACTAACTTAGTTACTACTCACTGACTGGTGGGCCCAAAACACAGCTTGTCAGTTCTGGACCCGTGTGTAAGCGGGATCGAGTATCACAGTGGATAGTGCCAGTGGCGTGTTCTGTTTGTTGTCCTTTTGGCCGGTGGATGTGTGATCTGTGCTCGGGACTCGGGGTCGTGCCACCTTTCCTTTTGTTTTCTTTCCCCGGCATACGTCTTCCCAGTGTGTAGCGTAGTACTCCCAGTGGCTGTAAAAAACTGTACTTGTATGCCAATGAGATTAGCAATCTGGTGAGTACAGTACGGTACGCGGATTAATTAGTGGTTTACTCCTCAAAGAGAGACGTTGGCACGTCGCCGTTGTCGGATTAGTATTTCGCTAACCAACGGTCGATTAGCTAGCTGTAAACTGCTGCTTGAGAACACAATGGACGACATTTTCAACACAAGGATAAAAGCTGTATTATCATTAGTCCGTTGCTCATTAATGTACTCTGACCAGGAGCATACTCAGCGTAGGTCCTACTGGACGTTCGGTTCTTGTTGTGATACACGCAGAAACACGTCGTCCGCACGGAAATTTGGGCGTACCGGGCCGCACGAGCGCCGGTCCTCCGATCCTTATCACGCCAGCCCGGCGCACACTGCGAATCCGGCGACTATTCCCCCACCATGTACGTTAACAATATTTTTCTTCCATAATATTTCACCATAAACATCAGTATAAACTAAATTTTAGCATAAGCGGACAGGGTTGATCTGAAATCCCAGTCACGCGCCCGCAAAAATGTCAAAGGATCTGATCGATTTTCCTGACGAAAAGGCGTAATCGCGGCAGCGGAACTGCCTGCGGATCAGACGGGCACGCAGCCTTCCAGCCGCAAAAGAAGAATAGCATATTCATGTTCATATATTCATATACGAGTAGATGCAGAGACCGACGGCACGCGCCAAGCAAGTTGAGACCATAATAACGACGCATCAGGAGCACGTGTCCGCTGTCCGCATAACGCCTTATCTGCAGACTGCGATGCACCACCCGTCCCATACAGATCACGTCAAAAAGTTGAGTAAACCCTACTCCTCTCGTCTAAGAAAGAAAAACATAATTGTAGTTTGAACCTGGACGCGGGCCGACGGAGGAAGTATCGCCTATCGGGCGTGAGATCCCGATCGCGTTAACGCTGAGCTGAAAGATCTGAGTGCTGAGCGGCAGATCCAGATCACGCTGACAGTCCGAACAGTAACTACACGAGTGAGCAGTCACTCGTCACGCTGTAACAGTCGCAACGAGTCAACAAGTTTAGGTACTATTGTTATACTATCCGGGCACTACTGGAGGCAACTAGCAGAGACACCTTTGCAGACTCACCAGTATAGAAAGGAAAAACTCGTGTGCCATGCATGCTAGGTCGGGGGTTTCCTCACCAGCTTTCGATGTGACCCTCACCAGTAAAAAACTTGTGCGGAGGAGTACTAAACGTCACAGCCTGCGATGCAGCTAGCCACATGGAATGGAAACGGAACGGGGAGGTGAAAGTGTGAAACGGAACAAGTTGTACTCTACTGTGTTGGACTACCGACTACACACAGTACAGTATAGAACATTAGAGCTTACGGCGTGTGACAGTAGCAGTGCACCTGTTAGGTGACAGTAGCAAAAACAGCCGCACATGCAGGGCCGGCCCCCCCCTCCAGCTAGGGCGGCTACGGCTAGCCTGGAACACAGAGCAGCGCACCACCAGTCCGCCACGGGAACGGTTGCACGGGAGCGCACGGCCGGCCCGGCATGCCGCTCCAAGCAGCGATGCGCCAGGAAATTTTACTGGCGGGCAGATCAGATCTCGTCCTGGTTGAGTAGGTTCAGAGAAGTGGCGTGATCTCTGATCTGGGGCAGGCAGAGGCAGCGGGTGGGCGCCACGGTTTTTATAGCCGAATCCTAGACGCGTCGTACTGCGTAGGAAAGGACGGCCTTGCCTTGCCTGCAGCCTGCCTGCGTGCCCGGCCGGCCGGTGCATTGCACGCATGACGCGTGCAGGCGCAGCTGCTGGTGTTGTTCCAAAGTTTGATGCTGGGCGTGAGCTAGGGGATGCCGTGCGTGCCGGCGCCATCAAGAGCGCGACAGCGGTTAACACGCTGAACCGGCCGGGCGGGCCAAATCGATCAAGCGGCTGCTACTTGCTGTCCACCCAGGATTCATCTAGTACTCCTACTTACCAAGGATTTGTTTCCACTTGGCTGTCCTGTGACTGCCGCGACTGATTCTGCAAAACACGCCGTGCAGACACAGCACATACGGAGTATATAACTACATGAGCCAGAGCCAGCCAAGAGTGTCCATATTGCTACAGTCCCGGCACTGCTACGCTCATTTGTTGCTTGCAGCTGGGTCCGTGTCCGTCCAGTACATCGATGGATCAGAGAACCAACAAAGAACAGGAAAAAGAAAAATGCTTGTCCTAGGCCAGCATCATCAGCATGAGGCTCCATCATTGCTCCTCGTGAAAGTCACAACAAGGGGGACTTGGCCGTCACTCCGTTGCCATCATGACGATGCCATGGAATCGCGTTTAGCAGCCGGCCGGCCCACGCGGCAACGCCCTCGTGCTCGGGCGCTCGGCACGGCAGTGAGATACTCTTGAGTGCACCCGCGATGGCTAGCTCTAAGCAAACTTTTTCAGTAGGGCTAACTTATAGCATCTAGCTTTTAATATGAATAGTCTCACATCACACTCTAACATAATCTTAAAATATGTACAAGAGCTAAACTCTTGATCAATAATTAGCTTTTCTCTCTCTTTTATTAAAATATTTAGAGCTCGCTTAAGAATCCGCCATTGCGGGTGCCCTCGCGGCAACGGCACGTCCATCTCGTGATCTCCATGGGCGACCTGCTGCTACAGTGCCACCGCTCGCGGACCACTGTCGCGGGAGGCGGCCCGGGTGCACGCCGCGGCAGCACGCGCGAGCCGCCGAGTCCGGGGACCGAGAGAACATTCGAGGTTGAAAAATGAAAAGGCCTCAAAGTATGGGCCACCAAGGAGTGGGCCTCTCCCGTCGTTTGGTGGTTGGTTCCATGATCCGTCTTGGAAAAAGGTGGAAGAATGGGACAGGCCAACCAGGCAAGGAGCCCATGCGTGGTCCAGCAGGCATGCCGCGCTTTTTTCTTTATTTTTTTTGTATGCATATTTTAAATTTAAAAGGACAATATACAGTTTTCTAGAAAATATAATCTCTCTATTCTAAATTATAAGACGTTTTAGATTTTATAGATACATTGATTTTGCTATGTATCTAGACATAGTGTATACCCCAAGTGTAAAAAAAAACAAAAATGTCGTATTTAGTTAGATGAAGTATAAAATGTTCCCTCGTCTCACATTCTCACACTAATAGTGGCGATTTATTTGAACACTCCGCCAGGCGGGTAGAAATAATGTATCACCGTCTTAGTGGGCGAGTGGTCCATATGGATAATTTTGAGTCACCATAAAAACGATAACATTTTCATAGGTGCTCCAATCTCAGACTTAAAAAAGAGCGGTCTATATAAATTACCTTTTGAGTCACCATAAAAATCATAATATTTTTCATAGGTGCTCCATTGAATACAAAATTTACACGAGAATTTAATAGAGACAATACCTATGACATTTAGTTCAATATTTTTTTCAATCCATCTTTTCTTAGGATTTTTCGACCCTTATCGACATTAAAACAATTTATACATGTAAATCAGTATTTGTACATCTGAATATTGCATCAACTATTCCAAGTTCCAACATCGAGATAGCTTCAAATTAAAAACGCTGCACTGCAACATTATAAGATCTCATGGACAATTGATATACATTTTATCGTCATACAAGGGCACACGGATGTCGCGCTTACTACATATTTTTATACTCAATTAGTAGCAAGTATATTCATATTCCATGTACTAATGTGCAGGTTTGTGTCTAATATAAACCCGTTTCTGTATAGGCCTTGTGTTTTCAAGTACGTTGACAAATAACGGGAAACACAACACAAACGGTTCGATTCAAGTATCAAAGAGAGCCACCAAATGAACCTTATCTGCTTAATGATCTCAACCCAAGAAGGCCTCGAATGCAAGATCACATGCTTAAAATTGTATATCATTTTGAGAAGATCAATGCACACATGGTCCCTTATCCAAAAGAAAATGCACACGTCCGATATGCGCATCCAGGCGACCGACAATTGGATGGTCACAATCACCAAAGACGAAAAACGTGCAATGTGTGAGTCAGTAGTGCTGTATGTGCACATACGGACCACGGATGTTAGTATGTTACCTTTGAATTGCAAAACTAACTAAAAATAGACAAGGGCATCACACCGAAACCAATTATTTTATCAATCTTAATTTCCTAACTACACCTACAAAAAAAGCCATGCTCTGGGTATCCTCTACCAAAAAAATTATGCTTATTTTCCGTTCGCACTAACAATTTCAACACACACCGAAGAAGAGCAAAAAGAGAGTGTGATTGCTAATTGTGCCCCGCGGCCTTGGTGGTGAGCCCGAATCCGAACGGGAACAGCGCGTCGTACCGCTTGTCGCCGTAGTTCATGGGCAGCTGGTCCACGGACTTGAACCACGTCCGCGGCAGCTTCCCCGTGAACCCGTAGTCCCCGAACAGCACGTCGGTGATGCCCTGCGCCTCCGTGCCGGGCAGCCAGGCCGCGACGAGCGCGTCCATGTAGTCCACGTACGGCTGCAGCACGAGCGGGCGGCCCGACACGACGAGCACGACGCACTTGACGAGGCCGCACACGTCCTTGATCACCTCGGGCCCCGGCGACGGGATGGTCAGGTTCTTGTTGTCGCCGGCCGTCTCGGCGTACGGCGGCTCGCCCACCGCCACCACGGCGTACTCGTAGTCGTTGGCGCTCTTGCTCAGGTCGTCCTTGTCCGGGCGCTCCACGTAGTCTATCGTCGTCTTCTTGTCCACCGCCTTCTTGACGGCCTCCAGGATCGTGGTGCCGACGCCGGTGAGGTTGTTGCCGCTCTCGCCCTGCCACGTGATGGTCCAGCCGCCGCACTGGCTGCCCAGGTCGTGGGCGTGGCTGCCGGCGACGAGGATCTTCTTGGCCTTCTTGTCGAGCGGCAGCATCGGCTTGGTCTGCCCCTTCTTGCTGTTCTTGAGCAGCACGAGCGACTTGCGGACGGCCTCCCGCGCGAGCGCCCGGTGTTCCTGCGCACCGAGCTCCTTGGTGAGGCGCGGGTCCGGGAGCGGGTCCTCGAAGAGGCCCATGGTGAACTTGACCCGGAGGATCCGGCTGACGGCGTCGTTGATGCGGTCCAGCATGATCTGCCCCTGCTTCACCTGCTTGACCAGGTCGGCGACGAACTCCGGGTAGTCGTACGGGATCATCACCATGTCGATGCCGGCGTGGATCGTCTCCTTGATGGAGTGGTAGTAGTGCTGGTGCGGCGGGTTCGTGATGCGGTCCACGGCCTGCCAGTCCGTGATCACAAAGCCCTGCAGCAATGTTGTTACGTTTAAGTAAGGAGTACTGATATGATCCAAGCGCAGCACTAGTTGAGCATGCAACATGCAAATGTACTGACAGACAGGGGCACGTTTGGTTTGTTCATCAGACAGACACAGACACAGACACTGACCCTGAAGTCCATCTTGTTCTTGAGCGTCTCGGTGATGAGGAACTTGTTCTCGTGCATCTTGACCCCGTTCCAGCTGGAGTAGGAGATCATGATGGAGGAGATGCCCTTGATGACGGCGTTGTCGTAGGGCGGCATGTGGATCCGCATCAGGTCGTGGAAGCTCAGCACCGTGTTGTTCTCGTTGATGCCCCGGGTGGTGCCGCCGTCGCCGACGAAGTGCTTGGCGCACCCGGCCACCTTCTTGGACCCGCCCACGAAGGGGACGCCCTTGGGGTGCTTAGCGGGGACGTCGCCCTGCAGGCCGGTCACCATGTTGGAGGTCATGAGCTGCACCAGCCTCGTGTCCTCGCTGAAGCTCTCGTAGCACCGACCCCACCTCGGGTCGCGGCACACCTGCGTGCAGACCGATCGATCGGTATGGCACAATCGTTCGGCTTATCATCAGGTCAGAAAGACGACAGAAATAGCAGTAGTCACGTACCGCGACGCATGGCGCGAAAGTGTAGGGGATGCCGGTGGCCCTGGTCTCGTGCGCCGTGGCCTCCCCGATCCGCTTCACGAGATGGGGGTCCCTGGTGGCGCCGAGGCCGACGTTGTGGGGGAAGATGGTGGCGTTGTACACGTCGTTGTTGCCGTGCACCGCGTCGATGCCGTAGATGATGGGGATGCCGAGCCGGGTCTTGAGCGCCGCCTTCTGCATCTTGGTCACCATCTTCTGCCACACTGACGCCGATGCCTTCTCCGCCGGCACGCTGCCGCCGCCGCTGAGGACGCTACCTGCACGCACCACCGGCGTCATGCATGGACGATATATGCATGTGCGCATTAGTGAGAGTTACTGTTACGGCTAAACAAAGGACCGCCGCGCGCCGCCCGGCCGGTGAGGACGATCGATGGACTCACCAACGAAGTACTTCTCGATGACTTCGGCGGTCGCGTTGGCCCTCTCGATCTGCGACATCTGGCCGATCTTCTCCTCCAGCGTCATCCGGCTGAGGAGGTCCTGCACGCGCTCATTGATGGGCTGCTTCGCGTCCTTGTACTTGACGTACTCCGCCGCCAACGCCGCCGACGGCAGGAGGAGGAAAGCGAGGACTAGGCACGCGACCGCCGTGGCCGCCGTCGAGCGCGTCATCGCCGTCGTCACAGCAACCTTCGTGGATTCACTCAGTTGATCTCCTGCATTTAGAATTTTGTTAGATCGAAAAAGGGATTCATCAGGGCGTGCATATGTAGGTAGGCGAAGAAACTGAAGATACAGTGATGTGGACTCACCGGTTGAGTAGAGAGTGATGAAGAGGAGCCGCTACCGGGTGACTGGATTTTATAGAGATCGACTGGCAGGACGTGCGTGATCAGTGCATGTCGTTTCCACGATGCGGTTTGTGTGTAACAGACTCGAGACCCGATCCGATGGATCCCCGGGTCATCGTCTGGAGGATCGGGGCGAAGACCACAGGGTTTCCCGTTGGACTGACTGCATGCATGATGCATGGGTGCGCGCGTGTGTAGGTGTTTGACTGAAGCACATGACCACTCGTATGAGTGGCCGCGGAGCCTATCTCAACTGAACACTGCAGGATTTCTTGCGATAGGAGATGCGGAAATTCCGTCGTATAGGGTATATCATCTACTCAAAGATCAAAACGTTAAGTAAATATATACTAATCTGTTACCTTTTTCACCATAAACGTTTTTTTTCCCTTTTTCACCGTAAACGTTTTTTTCCTTTCGAGTCATAAAATTATCTTTGTACATGAAACTACGATGCCATGTTGGCTTGAACTACTTCAGCAGTACTTTTCAGCGAAAGAACAATGTTTTTCTCTCACAAATAATCAACATAAGTCAAATTTCAGCAATATATCTCTTTTGACTTTGAGAGAGTTGTTGGTACCTAATTTAAATTAAATTAAAATGCAAGGTGAACATATGCAAATAAAGCCAAGGTGGTAAGTAAAGAAAAAAATAGGAGCACAAGAGATATAGAGAAGAAAACATGAATGAAGAAGAAAAAAGTCAAAACTATAGAGGAAAAGAAAAGAAAATAATAAGAAGAAAAAGGGTACAATCTATACATCTCAAGCTGTCAGTGCTCTTGAACTTCGAGCTCTTTGTTCCCAATTTTGTGTCCATGCTTTGATAGCTATTCTCCTTGATTCCTTCTTGGTTTTGTGTTTCGAAAGTTCTATGTTTGCACAGAGTTATGTTTGATTGTTGAATATGAGGTTGTACGTTATCAAAGACTTTTTTTTTCTTGCCGGCCAAATGTTCTAGGCCACCGCTATTATAGCAGTTGCATATTCAGAACTAGGTTAATGCGTTATGTGTGTGGTTTTGCTCTAGAGTCAGCAAAGTTGCTGCCATGTCTGTCTCTGAGTTTACCGTTAAAACTAGTGATGTCCATACTTGAATTTCATGAGGGCATCTCAAATGCATATGTTCATTGTGTCCATAAGGGCATGCTACATTAGCATTGATATATTTTCTTTTATAATATATTTCGTGTCTTTAGTCCTCCCTTTGTTGCCAAGAGTATCTCCAACAATACTAAAAACCAAGCGTCCTACTTTTCTATAGCCACCTACTTTTAGGGTGTTTTTTTTTTTTGTTGTCTCCACAGTACCACCCAATCATGCCCCCTTATTTTATTTTCTCACAAATGCATGTCACCACTCTATGATTTTCATTTCTCCTCCACAATTAACCAAAAGTATTTCAATTGCATATGTTTCATGAACAACAAATTGAACGTCACAAATAATTTGAAAATCCAAATCTAGATTTAAACCACATAGTTCAAACATATCAAAGTACGACACCACATAGTTCAAACATAATCAAAGTTTTCACATCAACAAGAGGAACTCAAATACAATCACACTATGACACACCATGGCATGCCCACAAATGCCCTACCAAATCATCACAGAGCCTCTTATGCATTGTTTAGTCTTCAATCTTATTATGTATACGCAAGAACTCACTCAACACAAGCGGATCGCATCGATAATCCTCCGTCCTTAACACCTCACCACCATCTTGTTCATAGTAAGTCCTCTTCCTTTTCCCCCTCTCATTTTCTATGATCATGTTGTGGAGAATTACAGCAGCGTTCATGATGTACCAAATGGTTTCCTTGTCCCACGACCTATAAGAACCCCTCACCATGGCAAACCTAGATTGAAGAAATCCAAATGCTCTCTTGACATCCTTCCTCACAGCTTCTTGTGCTTGTGTGAAGTGATTAGCGCTTCACAAAAGTAGCCCAAGAAGGATAAATAATGCTAGTCAGTGGCAACGGCGGAGACGAATCGAGCGTGAGGTGTAGGAAACAGAGGAAACAAAAACTCGCTTGTTGGGCTAATAGGAATGGGTAGTGTGTGTGGGGGGGGGGATTTGAGGGCCAACAAATTTTAGTGACTTAGTAGGTTGTCTGTTGAAAGCTCTTTTTTTTCCTCAGCTACTCAAAAATTAAGTAGAGGACCTGTTTAAGTAGTCTAATGGAGATGCTCTAACCAAACAAAGATCTTACATTTTTTTAGGCGCTAAATAAAACCAAAAGTCTTGTGCTATTGGGAAAAGTGTCTCCCCAAACGATAGTATGAAATATTGTTCTAAATGTAACATTCTTTGTTTGCCTAAATCTCATCTACCTTGTATCTTGAAGATCTATTTGTTGAATACTATCCAAATGCTTTAGTAAATGTAGCAATTCTATTCCACTCGCTGTGAGGTTAAAGGTCTTGTACAAATTTGCCAACCTATTTAGACTAGTCTCAGTAGGGGTTTCATTTTCTAGTTTCTAATATTGTCATGTGTTGAGAACAATGTAGACAAGTTTTATCCTCATAAAGCTCATTTTGTTCCATGAATTTTCATCATCTCTTTCTTTATTTATACTATGCCATATCAGTTTATTTAATGCCATGAAACTAAACTTTCACTAAAAGTTGCCTTAGTAGCTAGTTCATCGCCTTGCAATTGTTAATTGTACATTTTCAAGAGTAAATGGTAGATACCTTTTAAAAAAATTAAAAGTTTAGGTTAATATGCCAATGCTAGAGAAGGGTGAAAATCATACTAGTAACTGAAAAGAGAGGTGCATGTAACATTCCAGCTCTACTAGTAACGTTTTATGTTTACAAAATCTTGTGTCGAAGGATGAAGTCCAGATGCTACTCAAAAGTCAAAACTATACAAGCAGTCGTGTTGATCTTACATCCGAGATGTACGTGCGCATCGCTGCGGACACGCTTGAACTATCCGGCCGATCATATCATCTCGTCGGCTTTGGACGCCATGGGATTGGACGTCATGGGGTACGAATGGTTTCCGTGCACCGACTGCTCGTACGTCTCGCCATCTCCCCACACCGCGTACGCGTCCTCCCCGTGGATGGCGTCGTCGCCGGCGGCCAGCTGCTCCTCGCTGAGCCGTAGCGGCACGAGCAGCCCGACGACGAGGCACACCGCGCTCGTCACGGCGACGTTGAGCGCCACGACGAAGGCGATCCCGGCCAGCTGCACGCCCACCTGCCGGAGCCCCGCGGCGGCGCGGCCGTCCTTGAGTGCGTACACGAGGCCCACGTACCGGGGGTCGTCGCCGAAGAAGAGCCGGCTGAGCCGCGGCTCCGCGAGGACCCCCGTCAGGACGCCGCCGAGGCTCCCCGCCACGCCGTGCGTGTGGAGCACGGCGAGCGTGTCGTCGACGCGCTTCAGGAACCGGCTCCGCTTGTGCAGCACCATCATGGTGCACCACGGCACGCTCCCGGAGACGACGCCCATGAGCATCGCGGCCCAGCCCTGCACCAGCCCCGCGGCCGGGGTGATGCACACGAGCCCGGTGATCATGCCCTGGACGGCGCCGATGACGGAGGGGCGCCCGAACACGAAGCAGTCGAGGCAGAGCCAGACCAGGAGGCTGGTGGCCGTGCAGAAGTGCGTGTTCACGACGGCGAGCGACGCGTCGATGTTGGCGGCGTACGGCGCGCCGCCGTTGAAGCCCGTCCACCCCATCCACAGCAGACCCGCGCCGGCGAGCGTCAGGAGGATGTTGTTCGGCGGGAACGACTCCCTATCCTTGGCCGTCCTCGGACCCACCTGCCGATCGAACGATTAGGTAAGCTTCAATCCAGTGGATCGGAACATATGCAGTCATGCATGGAAGGCAAACAGTTACCCAGTAGGCGGCGGTGAAGCCGGCGATGCCGGAGGAAAGGTGGATGACGTATCCGCCGGCGAAGTCCATGACACCGGCCTTGAAAAGGAACCCGTTGGGGCTCCAGAGGCTGAACGCCCCAATGGTGTAAGAGAAGGTGAGCCAGAGCGGCACGAAGAGCATCCACGCCCGGAAGTTGACGCGGCCGAGAAGCGAGCCGGCGACGAGGATGAGTGTGATGGCGGCGAAGACGAACTGGAAGAAGAGGAGCGTTGCCGCTGGGTAGGCGCCGGCGAAGCCCTGCTGGGTGAGGAAGGCCTGGTCGAGCGCGGCGAGGTCGGGGCGGCCGACGAAGGGGAGGAGGCGGTCGCCGAATGACATGCGGAAGGCCCAGAGGCACCAGCAGACGAAGGTGGCGGCGAAGGCGTAGAGCGCCATAAAGGCCGAGTTGACGGCCCACTTCTTCTTGACGATGCTGCCGTAGAGGATGACCAGCCCCGGCACGCTCTGCAGCCCCACCAGCGTCGCCGCCGCCAGCTGCCATGCGTTGTCGCCCTTGTCAAGCCACTCCGGCGCTGCCTCCGTCGCCATCTCGGCGGCCGGGCGATCGAGACAACGCAGTAGAGCGAGTGTATAGTGCTCGCGCGAGTCGCGTCCACGGGGCACGGGGAGGAGAGGAGAAATCAAACAGAGGCCAAGTGGAAAGGGTAGAGAGCTATATAGGAATGGAGGGGCGGAAAGGTCTGCGGGGGAGGAGCGGAAGATGTGCAGATTCTTCAGATACTTTGAACGATGAGATTCTGCTGTGTGGCTGGCTGGATGCTGAATCTGTCCGCGCTTTGGGGTGGTTTTCACTGCTGCGGAGTGCGGTGACACATATTCAACACAATTAGCGCATGATCTCATGTTATGGCCGGGAATTTTGCATCAGGGCTGTGTGTTTTATACAACGATGTGACATTGAAATCGTATGAA